AGGTTGAGCAAGCCCTACATGTTTTCCAAATACCCTAGACACAAAAAAACCTATAAACACATATCTACCTTATTGCACTTTTTAGCAGTACAATCTTAATAAATAAATTTATTAACTTCCTTTAAGTAAATAATCATTGTGTCTTCATTGTTAATCAAGTGAGTCCAAATACAATAGAAGGATGAATTGTGTTGATTGAAAATCAATGTCCAATAATAAAAATAAATAAATAAAAGAGAATAAATGAAAGAAAGAATGAAAAATAAATGAAGAGAAGAAAAATACACCAGAAAGAAAATAAAAGTGATGGAAAATAAAGAGATAATGGAAAGAGAACATGCATCCAAGATTTATATAGGTTTGGCTTAACCAGTTAACCTACTTTTATCTCAAAGAATTTCCTTTCAGAGTTCCATTAAAATCATATGTGAGCTTTTCTCAAGTTATGTCCACCAACCTTCTTACAACCAAACATGATATTTTACACTGGATAATCCCTAAATTAAACAATATTTTTTCACTGATTGAACTTAGAGCCAAATAAAGATTTAAAGGGCTGATATCAAGAACACAAAATTAATTTTGTCAATTTGATCCTAGAAAGTAAGCCAAGTTCTCTAGACCAGATATCTTAAACTCAATCTTCATGTTTACTTTGAATCTTGTCAGTTCAACTTCATTTGATTTTGTGACCAATATATCATCTACGTATAGGCATAATATGATTTAACACTGCTCATTTGAACACTTTACATATACTTTATCTTCTGATGTGCATTTGTTGAATTCCAGATTGATGAGAAAACTATTAACTTTGTTATTCATGCCATATGTGTTTGTTTTAATCCATACGAATCCTTTCTTATCTTGTACACCTTTTCTTATTGCCGTTTGATCTTAATGTCTGATGGTTCCTTGACATAAACCTCCTTCTCTAGCGGTCTATTAAGGAAAACTAACTTTACATCCAATTGATACATTTTTCACCCTCTGTATGTTGCAATTGCAACCACTATTATTATGGTTTCAAGCCTTGTAAATAGAACATATACCTCATTAAAATCAATTACATGCCTTTGAAGGAACCCTTTTGAAACAAGTTGTTCCTTGTATTTAGCTATCTCACCATTTGGTCTATGTTTCAATTTATTGACGCATCTCACGTCTATGACTTTTTTGTTTGAGTTATTTACCAACTCACATGTTTGATTCTTCTAAATTGCCTTGAGTTCTAGCTTCTTGCAATTTATCATATTTCAAGGCTTTATTAAGGTCAATTGGTTATGATTCAACATTAGATTATTTTCTATAATGTCGCCGTATTACTCTACTGCTTGATCAAGGAATCTCTCATAGTGAGTTAGCCTAACATATTGAGCTATTGTTCTAGCTGAATTCCCTACCTCCTATTTTAGAGTTTCCTTTAATTTATCGTGTAATACAGTTCTTACATTGCTTTAGCTTTCATTATTAGGCATTACATTACTAGAAAATTTGAAGGAAAGCACCTTCTCGTCGTCTATTACTTGGTCTGGGTGGCTTCACTTCCTTGAAACATGCAAAAGAGGATAAAAATGATCCACTTGCTGGAGAGAATTATCAAAAGAATCATATGTTGCACGACTTTATCAAACTCCTTAGTAAAAGTAAGATTCTCAAAACTCTGGTTTTGAAGACTCTCTTGATTCTCCTTCAAAAACGCCTCAAGCTCTGCTACCCTATTATGAGAAGGATCTTGCACACGAATATCTACAGCAAAGGAAGTCTCAACTGCAAACAATAATGCTCGAACATAGATCATAACTTTGTTATTCTTCTAAAGCTCACCCATAAGTAACTTCTCTTTGTCAACCAACCTATCAGGAGACTTAAAAGTGATAATGACAACTTCCATATCTAAAAATAGTGGAAGCACTTCTAAGCTCTTCAAGGTAGCAACCATGCTCAATGGTAAGACCTTAGACACAACATTGAAGCACTTCTTTCTCCTTCTGAACCCGATCAAACACAACGACATCACCATGACCAGCCTCTCAAAAAGCCAACATGGCTGATTCCCAACAAGTATAATAATCCAAGTTTGACAACTCCTTCTCATGAGCAACCTTAGTCACAACGAAAAAACATGTGGGCCCGATCGAGTCAAGAGGACGAGAGGCAGAGTCCCAGAGGCAGAAGCTATACCTTTTGGGGCAGTGTTAACCAATAAATTTCATTATGTCAACTCGATAAGAGGAAATGGTTGAAACTTCAGCGCAAGTGAAAAACAATATTTTACACCTTGTCAACCATAGGTAAGTTTAAGGTGAAATGTCAATATTTGACTCACTAAGGTTTTGGTTTGAGACTTAGTGAAATTTCCAAGGGATTAAAGATGAATAGTTTAAGGGATCGAAGGATATTTGAATGAGGTAATTTCAAAATTAGACCAAGTAACTATTTTTTGATCTTATCTGAAAGGGCCAGAGACACGTGGAGATCAATCGGAGACACGCGGAACATGCAAGTATGACATGTCAGATGGAAGATAGTTGAACGTTAGGGACATGTATTTTTTCAAATACTATAAATAAGGATTATAATGTTAGGATTCAGGGTAGCAAAATCATTATAAACTTCAATATTCACTCAAAGTACCCACACATAAGCGAGAAACGAGTATCTGAAGGAAATGTATGAAACTTCCCACACATTTTTACTTTTGCAAATAAAGTTTTTTCCTTTCTTTCTAATTTTGTTTATTTCTCCTCTCTCTCTCTCTCTCATCAAACTATCAATTCGACCCAATCGATTGTTGTCCCTTTTCTACACGATTGACACTAAACTCATGACAACTTCAATGCACGGTTTTTCCTAGAAAAATCACAAAATATTCCCCAGGATTTACTAGTTTGGTACTTCAAGCAAAAAATTTAAAATTAAGTGATTATTTTCCAAAATCACTGGTGAAAAATTGGCCACCCAGTGGGATCATTGTGCGTATTTTATCGTTAATTTATTTTTGTTGAAAAAATGTGTTATGCGTCTGGACTTGCATACGTTTGAGAAGTGGTAGAACTCTAGTCGAAATGGTTTTCCCTAGGAATACTTTACTTCCCTAAAATGACATCTCGAATGTTGGACTTGAGACTGCACACACAAGAGGGGGAAGGGGTGAATTGTGTGGTTTGGAAAAACGTGGTAACCTTATTCCTTGACAAAGACCAACATCTACTTCTTCTCCGGGTAAAGTTCTTCTTTGAACAAGTCGTTTCCCTTGTAAGCATAAGACCCATTTCCAGTCAAAAAGTGATTTGAAACAAAAATTTGCCAAAAAAATCCGTACATTTATAGTTCAGATCTATTTATATGGCACAAATCTTTGCTTGGACATTTTTATTAAAGAGAATGACCAAAAGAATCGATCTTTGAAATGATTTATGCTATTAGAGTAAACATTGAAAATATGGTTAACTTATCCCAAGGAAACCAAGCATTGGCCATGTGCATGGTTTAAAATGCTATGTTTAGCCTTGAAGAAGTGAAAGAAGAACGATAAAGTCGACACCCTTGATATTTGCATCAATGCTGGAAAACCTTGATAAATGCGTAACTCATCAGGTGCAGATGCAAGGGAGAAATCATTAAGTGAGTCAAGACGTCGACTTCAGGCTCATTGAATAGAAGGTCGAAGCCCAAGATGGGGAGCAATCATTTATAAAGGGGAATAACCCACCTTTCATATTCATAGCTTATCCTCTTATCCTTGTCTGAAGTCAACACCCTCTATTCAAAGGAAGAACCCACGTCACTAAATGCATAATTAAGGCCACATTCGTAAGCGAAAGTAGAATCAGTCTTTGAAATCTCAGGGTCCACCCAGACAACTGAGATATTCTTCTTTGCTTTTTGGCGCATGGCAAGTGCAACCTCCATAATAAGAAATCTAATGTAGAAGACATTAAAAGGGGAAAAGTAGGATAATGAATCTTAGCTAAGTAAGAAGAGGGCTAAGAAATGAACATTACCTTTAGGACATTGAAACTAAGGGCAAACATAAAAGGAAACTGCAACACAAACGAATATGAAGGAAAGCTAAGAGTCCAAGAATTTTGGTGTTGATCACAAACAAAACGAAGGAAAAGAAAAACACTCTAGATTTTCAACCAACGAAAGAGTAAGGAAAAATAAGCAAAAAAAGTCTTTGGGTACTTCTAACACACGAACAACATAATCTCTTACATCCAAGAGAGAAGCAAGCACTATCAAAAGTTCAAATCTCCTTGAAAATCGTCAATGATACTCAAGTTACATAGGACCAGAAGTTCATTATTGCTAGCATGCAAATGGGCATGTGTCAAAGGTTCATCACCATAAAGACATGTGGCATAGGAAATGCATTTAATGCGCGAGCTCCCAACGCTAATGGTGACCCATCGCTACCCTTCACTTGATCTAAAGGTCACCTGACACGGGGCATGCACAAAAAAAACTCTTCCCCTTGAAGGCAAAAGAAAGGGTTGAAGGCAGAAAAAAGGGCCCGAGAGACAACTGTTAAGGGTCGCTCAAGAAGCCCAGTAAGAGAGGCACAAGAGCGAATGCTATAAAGGACCTAGTGTAGGAAATGAGGAGCATCATTCTCATAAAGATATTAAAGTAAATTTAATAGACAAAGACCAAAAGACGTGAGTAATTAATGCGTATTAGCATCCATCATTCGTAATTAAAAAATACTAGAATTATTTACACTTACATTCACACTAACTAAAGTCAGATAGATTTTGGAGATTTTTTATACACTCTATATGGTGAAAAATCACCATATGAAAACACAAAATGCTTCTTAAATTTTAGAGATGTATCTTTGAACAAATCTTTCTTTTCGATCAAAGTTAAAATTGAGTCACATCAATAATTTTTTTTTTCTTCGAAAATATTATATTCATGTTGGTAACTCATAAGATGCATTTAAATATTATATTTTGCAATGCCTAAGTTTGACCCAAATCTTATAATCGAAAATGAGCAAAAACAAGTTTAGAGAAATGAGTTACTCTCTAACAACGACGGCACCATCACCCAAAACAACGACGGCACCAAAGCCATCATCTTCTTATTTACCAGACGACTTATGGGAACGCATCTTCAAACTAATCAACAGCGGCCACCACCGCACCCTCCAGCCTCTCTCCACCGTCTCCAAACAGTTTCTCTCCATCACCAACCGTCTCCGGTTCTCCTTCAAAATCACCGGTAAAATCATCCCTTACCTCCCTCGCCTCTTCCACCGCTTCCCTAACCTCACATCCCTCGACCTCACTCTCCTACCCCAAACCCTCAACATCGACGCTCTTCTCATCCAAATCGCATCTCTTCCATACGACCTACAATCCTTATCCTGCAACAACATGCCGGTAAATGGATTGTTAGCATTATCCAAATCGATGAAGAATTTGACCTATTTCTCGTGTTCCAGAATGCCTTTTATCAACAAAAATCACCTTCTTTTCATTGCTTATTGTTTTCCTTTGCTCGAAGAACTCAATCTCACTTTTCCATCTCTTTCTAGGGTTTCTGATTTTCTGCTAGAGGATAATCAGTTGTTCAAATTTCCTAAACTCAGAAAGATTAATTTATCCGGTAATAATATCAGTTCCGAGTTTTATAACCATATGTGGGAGTGTTGTGAACTTCTTGAAGAGTTCGTCATGCATAATTATATTGCAAAGAAGTTACCAAAGTTGAGTTTAACATGATGGTCAAGGTTTTAGATAACGGTGCAATACTGATTGTGGTCGTAGCGGTGGAAATTAACCTTCATTTCTTTTTCAACAATAAATAACGGTATCGCCGATACTAGCATCTTCCAATATTGTTTTGTCGCGTTGTTTTCGTGGTAATAGACTGTTTCTTATAATCTTGATAATGATACTGAGTAGAGTTTCATCTTGCATTGGTATTGACTTAAGCGTATGAGAGTTTGATTCTCATTGATGTTTCACTTTTTAAACATAGACAAGTTGGTTTATCTTCTAATGGTGTTTGTTCATGACAATATATGTATTGATTTATTGAGTTATATATTTATCAAACTTTGAGTTTTTTCTTTTGTTTTCTGCAATGTTTATATTTATATGATCCCATGTCAACTGAAGTTGTGATATAGTATAATACTATAGTAGATGGAAGGGTTTCATTTGATAGCATTGAAACATTTTTTTGGGACATTCTTTGTTCTCATAATATTGTTATAGGTTAAAAACAGAATATTTGTCTCATTCTCATTGCATTCTGTATTGTCATATAAATATGGCTCTAGCTTGGAAGCGGGTAATAATTTAGGTTCCTTGTGGTGGAGAGACATTAAATCGGTGGAATATTTACTGGCAGAGTCGTCTTAAATTTTTAGAGGCCCTGCGTTAGTTATGGTTCAACTGTTACAAAACTAATAGGAATTCTATTTAGTTATAACTTAACCATGGAAGATCTATTATGAGGCCCTATATATTCACAGATTTATCATGAAAAATATGAGGTCTTGTGCTATAATACATCTCGCACACTCTCAAAGACGGTCCTATTTACTGGTGTATGTTGTGGAGGGATGGTTCATAGGAAATTTGAAAGAGGTAGTTGGAGGTGGGAGATATACTAGTTTTTGGTTGGATCCAAGGTTGAGGAGCTGCGTTTGGGCTTGAGGGTAATGGAAGAGAGTGTCTTCGATTGTTTTTTACTCGTTTTCATGTTTGATACAAATGTACATTCATTCTCATGTTTTGCTGCTAGTGTAGATAGTTCATATATCAATTTGGTCAAAATCTGGGAGCCTACTGTTTGTAGTGCACCAGCAGATTGTTAAGGGTGCTCTGGGTTGTGTTTGAGTTAATCCATTCTTTTGATTCGTTAAGAAAATGTATATCACAAGTTGCCTTGATTTGATTGTTTAAAGTTATATTTCTGTGAGTGGTAAATGTACTGTAATGAGTGCATAGAAAATTTTACTACCATAGGTAGAAAAGATCATGGGATTTAGTGTCCTATATATTCCTTGATTTTAGGATCTCTCTTATCCATTGTTGGAGCTGCTGTAATAAGAAATTCCATTTATGGTTAAAATATACTTGTAGTATTTTATCCAATTGAGCAGGTAATGTAGCATTGTTATGAAATTAACACGTTCTCTTAATGTTTGCTCACAAAGAATGATATAGCCAGAAAGACCCTTATTCACGTGTTCTAAATTATATGCCTTTAATTAACTATGCAACAAATGATTTGGAGCAACATGCTGCTTGTGGGGAATCCTTCATAATGATCATGAAAACTTTATTTTTGGTTTTGCTTCTTGATTAGGGAGATGCTCAGTTGTGAAAATGGGGCTTTATAGAATCTATCATGGTTTAAATATAGTTTTTGGAGTTGTGGTTTTTGCTAAATTAATTATTTATGGATATTTTAAATATGTTGTTGTCCTATCACCCATTCTTACTTTATGGATGTGGATGTGATTAGTGCTGTCAAAACGGATTATCTGACTTTAAACGGACTAATCTAATTAGGCCTCAAATATGGATTCTAATTTTACTATTCAGACCTAGCCTTGTCTGGGTGCAGGTTATCTGGCCCTAAACGGGCCCATTCTCTAAAAAAATTGCTTTGGTACTTGGATCAATTTTTCTCAGCATTTTCTAATCAAATAATTATATCAATTTTGCATCAAATGACCTTGGGCTTCTTGGAGTGCCATAGCAGAACAATGACATTAGCACTCAATGTAGCACTCATTTGTAGTACTAAATAGAAGAACAATTACCAAAGCAGAACAATTGCTAAATAGAAGAACAATTGCATTCGTTGACAATAGCACTCAAATTCAAGTTAACAACTAAAATACATCAAAAGCTACCTAAGTTAACAACTAAAATTCATCAAAAGCCACCTACTTCAATACACAAATTTCTAATTTTGGCCTACCCACTTCAATACACAACAATAATCATATCCAACTTAGGCCATTGACTCCTGCTATTGATGAAAGGATGTCTTTGGTAGATGACCTGTAAGTATCTCTATCAATGTTCTTGGAGCTTTGAAATTTAGGGTTGACAAATGAATATGTCCGTTCTGTTTAGGGATATGTCCTTTCTGTTTAGGCCTGTTCTATAAAAGCTCGAAAACGAGATGGAACGGTCATAGTTGAGGATAAAAGCCTAAAATCTAAGATTGTCATGTAAAAAAGTTAATGCGGGACGGTGAAAGTCTGCCGATACTACACATTTTAAGTCTAAACATATAAAGTTTTACGTTAATACTTGTGCCGTAAAAGCTCGTGAAAAAAATAGGACGGAACTGACACATTAGAGAGTGATGATTTAAATTCTTAGTCCATTTCACACTACAGTACAGATAAAGCGGACATATCTAACAGACCAGACTCATTTTATCACCGTATTAAAATATGTTTGATGAATTCTCTAAACTTTGTTTACCTAAAAGTTTTATTACCCAAAAAAAAAACAAGTAATAACCATGGAATAAGATAGAAAAATACCTAATTTTATATTTTCAAGTTAAATTTAAGATCCCACCAAAAAAAAAGTTAAATATAAGATATAGAATCATTAATTTCGCTTTCGAAAAAAAAGAGGCCACAATGGTTAAATAAATAGAAAATTAGCAAAAATGTCAATTTTCAAATTGAATTCAAAGTAAATACTTTTACACGGTAAAAACTATATTTCAACTAAATTAATTACAAAATTTAAATTCTAAACATATTAACAAATATATTAATCTACTTGTATAGCCATCATATCAAATTTACAACAATAACTTTAAAAATCTATAAAAAAATATTATTTTTCAAAGTTAAATAACAACTATTTAATATGATTGAAAATACTTTAAATTAAATTTAAGGAAGGAAATCGTTAATTTCTCTTTTGAATAATATAAAAAGACGACAATTGTTAAATAAATAGCAACGCAGTCAAAATAAGATTTAAAACGGTGGTATTCAAGATAACATTTTAAAAATTGGATTGAATCAGTTTGTGAGACCGGTCAAATTGAGAATTAGAAAAAATATCGATCTGATTTGATTGTTAAATCAGATGCGTTATTAAACCAGTAAAATGATCGCGACTTTATCGCCTAAATAAATCGGGAGACTGCAAGTGCACAGTCCTATCGCGTAGTTTTAAAAGATATCGAACCCACAGAGACTATAAATCGATCTATTGTTATCCTAAGTTACGGTACACAGCTTAGGCGAATAGTTCTTTTAGAATATTGGTTAAGGAATATAAATATAAATAAAACGGATATCGGTATGTACTTCGTTAACACTAGAGAATCCGGCTTTCCACAGGCTTATTTTCTAAAAATGATAATAATATCTTTTTCAGCAAAAAGTATTTATTCAAAAATCTATTCTCAAACTTTCGCTCTATTGAAGTAAATTATAATTTTAAACTCTGATGTATGCTTTCGCTATCCCATTGATTTTAAAATTACTTTTTGAAAATAAATAAAGTTTAATTGGTTTTAAAACGCTGTCGCAGTCTTTAAAAACAATACCTAGTATCTACTATCTGATTCTAAACCTCAAACTGTCGCTCTATTGGTTTCTAATCTTAGTCGGTTTATTAACCTCAAACTGTCGCTCTGTTGGTTTCTAAACTTTTTTAACAAAATAAATTAGATAACTAAATCAGAAAAAGTGTTTATTTTATAAGATATAATCAAGCCCGTTTATTCCGGATCCATTCAAATTAACTTGTTACATACCGATATTTAAATAATTTAGCCAGACATACTCATAAAAGCAGACATGAATACATTAAAGGAATTAACATTCGTAAATAAATTCATGGCTAAATAAATATCTCTCATGCAAATAATTAATTAAATAAATTAAAATAATTATATTAAGAACCTGGATATAATAATGCTTGAATAATCTTGTTCTTCGAAATAAACGAGCATTCCCCCACAAGTCGGTTGGATCTGCTCGGAGACTTCTTGAATTGAAAAGAAAAAATTACGACAAGAAATAAAAAAGGCACTGGGTCTAACGTAAGGTTAGATCAGTGAAAATTATAGAAACTTAAACTAAAATAAAAACTAAAGAAAGAAACCGAACTAGAAAAGTATGGTAGAAATACAAAATTGAAAAGAAAATACGAAAACAGAAAAATAAAGAAAGACTAAATAACGGTTGTTCGGTAAAATTGCCGACCCTTGCTCTGAAGGTTGAACTTGTATTTATAGGCTTCATTTGTAACTTTCCGCTTCCATGTTGTACGAAGGCTAGTGGAGATCATGGGAATAACTACCAGAATCATGGGAGAACATGGGAATAACTACCAAAATCATGGGAGAACATGGGAATAACTACCAGAATCATGGGAGAACATGGGAATAACTACCAAAATCATGGGAGAACATGGGACACATATCCATGAATTTCTCGTTTCTTACTTGCCCACGTTGAGACGGGCGCCTCCATTGACTTGTTCTCCCTTTGACCATGCTGAGACGGGCGCCTCCCACTAAGGGGAAAGTCCGAGGCGGGCG